ATGTAGAAAAATCTGTGAAAAGTTTTGAAAAACTTTTTAATTTAATATTTCCAAAGTTTACGAATTTCATATTATTTCTATAAACGATAATTTTTTAAATATTTATTTTTATTTTAATAACACAAACTTGTGATATTCGGTATCGAATTCTGGAAGATGCAAAATTATTCTTCAACCTATAATATTATATTACGCGTTGTAATGAATGTATTATAACTTTAGCAATCAATATGACATTAATAAGTAAATAAATGAATAAATAATCACATCATTTATAGAGCAGTTATAAATGCACTTTAATCATTGGTATAGATTCATCTACTGAAATAGAACAAAATACGTCAATCAATGCCATTCTCATTTCTTAAAGTTCAATTTTTGAAAACGACGGCTTAGGGGAAACCGAAAAGCAAAAAGGAGAGAAAGAAAAAGTCGAAACGTTAGCGTGAACGTCGTCAAAGCGCAATCTGCAAGCTCGAGTATATGAGAGCGTTACCCGATGTCCCAATTTCTCGCTTCACCGGTTCGTACTTGCGAGTTTCCCGGACAACGAGCCGTCAGAATCTCTCGTCTGGCTCCGATTGTTTCCGACAAAAGAACAACGAGACGTAATGAAAGAACGCATCCACGTTTTCCACCTACAACCAGACTGACACGCTTCCTGTTAAGGCAATTTAACCTAGGTTCATCAAGCTGGACACCATTTAGGATTAAAACATTAAAATCTAAACCTTTCAAAAAATCAAAATCACCAATTGTTTACTAATAGTTTATAATAGTTTAATAATTATCACCAATAATTCATAATAATTTCTCTTAGAACTGAAGAGGGTTGATATTTCACGAAGACAAAAATTTACCAGTTTTGAGATAATTGAGGTTTTAAGTAATAGTCTAGAATTGAAGTACATAACGATGAGATTGATTGAAAGGGTTAAAAATTTCTTCATTCTTGTAAAATAATGAAAAACCAGCTCTTGATGTTTTATGTGCAATCACCGATTTATATCGCGTTTATGGTTACTCGCGTGACAGCCCTTCGAAGATCGCGTGCTCGCGTGTAGGCGGATATAATGAACCGCAGGGAGAACACGATTACGACAACGTGGATGACGACATTCGTGATGATAATGACGATAATTTGCAATAGATTCGGCTTTTTTGGCAGTGGGTAACACGTCTTCTATTTAAGAAATTTGACAAATGGGGAACCAAGTGTCGAAGTCTACCTTTGAAGATGCTTTTGATTTGATTTATTGATTGATTTGATTTGATTTTGGTTTATTTATTTATTAGCTACTTGTCAGTATATTATATTTTGTTATTAAACTATAAAATTAATACCTCGATTTTCTGTAGAAAGAAAAATTAATTTTTGTAATTTGTTAGCAATCATGTAATTAATTTTTGTTTACAATATTTTCTTTTTTTTTTGTTAATTATTTTGTACAGTACAATCACAGAATGGTAGGGAAATTGAGGCAGAAAGAAAGTATTATAAACAAGGTGGACAGTTGTGTTGCTTCTCGAAATGACGTCGGTGATCGTTGGTCTGAACGGTACATATAAAATGGATCGTTAAAACAGGACATAGAATTGAAATCTCACTGTATTTCCAAATGACAGCATTTTGCAACCAACTGGATGGCGCTTTGAATCCGTCAAAGCACTTGGACAAATAAATGTACCTTTTATCGGTGTTCCTGTATACTGCAGTGAGAAACGCCGACACAATTGCTGGAAAATTTCTGTTACAATATCAGCGAAATTACGTTCATTTATGTGAACATTTATTCATCATTATGCAATTCTATTTATCCATCGTGAGCGTTCGCTACACATATCAATTTGAAGTTTAATTTCCATAAATATAACTATGTAAAATCTTCAGTATTATCCTTGATGCAAAATGGCTGGTTGTTAATTATATCAAACAATAAATCCGAGTGCAATTCATCTACTCTTCCTTTACATATTTTAATTAGGATGTTGCAATAAATTTTACTTGAAATTTGATGTAATATTCAGTGAAAATGCTGGTAATTATTACACAGTATAGCTTTGGTTTAAGAAATTTCTATTAGAAGATATGAACCTTTAAAATAAATCATGTGTTCAAAAATATTGCAATAGCTTAACAATTATTCAAATTATTTGACAATATTCCTTACAACTATTTTTTAAAAATAGTAAAGATAATATATAATACGTATGTCCAGGATTTCCAAATATACTGCTGTATTTATGGATCGTGTGTTCTTTCAAAAATGAAAGTCAAAAAAAAAAAAAGAAAATGAAACCACATTTGTTTTAACTTTACATTTAGCTGTCATGGAAACGAGTACAAACGAGAAATAACGTCTCTTGGGAGAGCATAATTTTGAATAGTCACGTTGAAATTTTCTCCTCTTCTATCGGCAATGTTTCATAATCTGCAGTGTTGGAAAACTGATCATCGATATGTCAAAAACATTCGATAACGTGCCTGTGGAAAACAACACAACAAATAACAAAATACGAAACAAAATGTAAAAGCTCGTATAGGATTCGTACTGAAGTATTTCAATATAAAAACAGTTCCATTTCTGTGATAACATTTTAAAAATAATAAAAAAATATTTTTCTATTGTTTTTACACAAATTTGTTGAAACAGTTGAAATATTATTAGTATGATTTTTAAGAAATATTGAAATACAGTTGGCATTAATTTATTCCCCCTTTATTTCGTAATAGGTTCCTTTTTGAATTTTGTAAATATCATTCTTACTTTTTTAATGATTTTTTTCTCAAACTTAGTAAAATTTAAATTTTTCACTGTACTTTGGCAAAGGCTTAAAATTACATGATATTTCCATTATGTAGAATGTAGACGGTTCGCGCGCTTCTCGTCGTCGGTTCATAATCCATGGAACGTGACTGGACACGAACGGCAAAATGCACGGGTCACCTGTCCATTTAGAAAGCGTATGATACGCGATTAATTAATTAAATTAGCTTATGCGCACCATGGGCGCCAAGGTGAGTGCATGCTCATGAACGCGTCGAAGTCATTTCACGAGCTCTCGTATACTGGTTACATTTTCCTAAAATTACTTCAATTTCACCGTTTGATCTTTTTCAAAATTGTCTCTCCTTTTTTAATATTTAAAATACAAAGGGTTGATAAAATTAGGTCAAACAACAGGTATGGCTCGTTGAAGATTATTTGATTAATTGAAATTTTACAAAGGTTTCATATTATCGAAATTATTGTGAATTCAATATATAAATTAAAATGTACAAAGAAAAACCGATACAATAATTAATTAACGTTCAACGTGAAGTGGTCGTTCGAATCCATTTAATTTATTTACACAATTTATGAGGTTCGAAACTCAAATCCTAGCGGTCTTTTAAGTGGAGTAGTTCCGGACTCCATAATACCCCATAGAAAGTCAACGAGCCCCATGCGGCTGATCGTTGGTCCAATCGTAATCGTAGTGAAATTTACTCCTGTTGAAAACTCTATTCACGTGCGAACTTTGAAACTTCTACCAGATAGAAAATGTATGTTGATTTTTCATTAATTGCTATTCAAGTTGGCCAACCTTCTGCTAACTTAACGTTTACATTCCATGTAACTTCACCATTTAAAAAATGGCACCTTGCTACAATATAATATTAATCCACTGTGTCAAGTAGTAGATACATCTTTAATTAAAATTTTACATAATTCAACGTTAGAATTTAATTTTCTTAAAATAGCACAAATTTTTTAAATCACCCCGTATATTTCAAAATGTAATCAAAATTTGTTTAAACGTACGAGAGAAGCCAATTGATAGGCAGATATTTGCTCGAGACACGATCGATCAGTTTTCCAATTCATTATCGATTTTATAATTTTAATTCGCTCGAAAGAATAAACTTAATTAATAAAACGATCGAACGCAAACATCGAAGGGCGAATGCTTTTAACCCGTTGCAGAAAGCCATTATCGGGCGAGCGTTTTAAAAACTTGGATAGGGCCAGCTAGATCGATTACTCGAACGGGTCGCGAATAATTGACGCGTCAAGTTAAACAGAACGAGATTTAGAAACGCTAGAAATACGATTTCGAGCGGGCTAAAGCGTTTAAACGTGTTTAATCATCACTCTCTTCAAGTAAGAAGATCGTTTCGGGAGGATAATTATTCTTCTAGCAACGGATAAATTCGTTCCATCGAACGGTATATTCGCGAAAGGTTCGTAGATAGTACCATTCTTTTTTTTTATTCTTTTTAACCACCCTTCGTTTCGAATCGACGGGACGGTAAGGCGAAAAGAATTTCAACTTTTAAATTATAGAAAATTACGCTTTGCCGAACGTCACGACGTTGGTTCCCAGTTTTTCTTCGAACCATTTCTCTTCCAGCAATCCTTTAACCACCCTTCGTTTCTCGTTTTATTACCTTCGATCGTCGAACCACCTCGAAGAGTTATAATTGCGAACAGGGAGGGATCGTTAACCTGGACTACTTTGTTACGACCTGTCGAAGTTATGGCTTTTGTCATCATTCATGTGCTTTTCGATGGAGAATAATAATTAGCCTTACTTTTTTAGGAAAAGGGTCGATGATTTCATAATATTTGTTAAATATGAATGCAATTTTATATGTTTTCATATAGTTATCTTTATTTTATAATATTAACTATGAAATATGTTAAAACAACTTTCAGAGATTATCTAGGAATTTTTTCAAGTAGAAACAATGAATAGCTTCTTCGCAGTAAATATTTTAGTGGTTCCATTCTTAATTGTTCGAGTGTGCCAGCAATGTTATTCTGGTGAAGTGTGCCAGCTAATGGTTAATCAATGTAACTTCTTTTATCGCCTAGAATAGAAATAATGAAATCGTTAAATATTTCCTTTAGAGGTATATAATTACTTCGCCACTTCTATTACTTGTTCCCCAATCACCAGACTTTATCATTATATATTGATGGCGTTTAACGATGAATCTTTTTCTGGATTTTCAGAGCACGCCTGCAAGGACTTCCGGTGTACTCAGAACGAATTTTGCATCGAGACGGACCTCCTTTGTGACGGTGTGAATCACTGCGGCGATGGCTCCGATGAGGCTACCTCCATCTGTGCCAGTAAGTTCTAATTACCAACGATTCATTTCGAACCCACCCTTACTTCGAGAAGGGTGGCTCCTTTCATATTTCGAGTGAAATACGCCGATGGCAAATTGATTTCCCATCGAATCGTTCAACTCTAACGATGGAGAGGAATCGTCGAATTATTATTGAAATTACTATTTAAACTTCTTTATCATGAATTATATTCTTTTATGGAAAAATTCTTTTTTCTATTTTATTACATTAATCCTAGGTAGATGAAGTTTTGCCGCGTTCTGATTTTATATTTCTTTATTGATAAAATTGTGATTGGAAATTTCGTTTAAGGTACCTTAGAAAATCATTAACTTTTTCAGGACGAATGATTCCTTAGCTTCCACAGAGTACTATTAATTCAAATTAATTTTAAATCATTACAATAAATACAGAATGATAAATTATTATGACAATTATGTTTGGACACACATACGCGTCGATCGCCCGCAATAAGTAATTAGTACTTTGATAAAGTAAATAAAAGTGAAATGTAGCAGCGGTGAAAATTTCTGAAATTAATATTTGTCTACTTATATGTTTGATTAATAAATCTTGTTATTATTTCAGATTCCGAGACATCAACAATTTTGGGCATGCAGAAGATCTGGTTTGCAGTTGCCCTCGTTTTTCTGATACTGAGCGTGGCAGGTCTGGTGACGGCGGCCGTTCTCTGTTTCTGCAGGCAACGGGCCACAACCCCAAGGCACCCCCATAACGCGCACAACGCCCAGTCTCATCCTCCAGTCAGCTTCCCATGTGAGTCACAAAAAGCACACTCGTTCGCGTCCGCACACGGTTTATATTTCTTGTGTCATCGTTGCTTAGCCATGTTGCTCGGTGTGTTTGTGTATTCGTTCGGCCAACAGCCAGTTCACCGTTCATCCACCCTTTTTCAGCCTTTTTTCACCCTTGAAAACATACCGGTTCCATGTATTTCAGAGTTGAACCCCCCGAAAGTCGAGGGAGATCTCCCGATGCATGAGTAAACTTGGACAGGGTTGAAAGCTTGTATGGTGGACGATGGTTTTTTCCTCGTGTTTTTATTTTCTGACTTACATTGCATGTTTACAGTGAAAGGGGTGAGCGCGTAGCGCGTGTATGAATTTCCGGGTGGTTTTATTTTTAGCTGCACTTCGTTTGAATATTTATGGAATTGGATAGAATAAAAAATATATATTAAAAATTATTTATGTTTTGGAAATATAGCGGAATGAGGATGTTAGGGTTGGGGAAATAATGGAAACATTGTGTGTTCTGTGTTGCTATTATTATCACTATTGTCGCTGTTATTGTTACTGCTATTGCTTTCACTATCACTATTTATATTATTATAATATTACCATTACTATTACATTGTAATTTTATTCGGAATGGTTGCTATTCTATGACAGGATCATTGAAAGCTTCATCGTCTAAATAAAATTACATTTAATTACCGTCTAAGATCCAGTCTTCAATGAATGAAGAATGCACCCCTGAGCTTTCAGTTCATAAACTGTGTATAATTTGACGTAATAAACGCGGTATAGATAGAACGCGCACGGTTTTACAGTGTGCCGTGTTATTAATTTATCAAAGCGAGGGACTAATTAGTTTCGCGCGAGATTAATTTAACATGGGGAAAATAGGTTAAACTCAATAGGATCTCACGCATGAAAGCTTGCCAGTGGTTTTGCATAGAATTTGCAGCTGGTTTTTTGATGAAAGAACCGAGATTAAAGGAATCGAGGCTAGCTTTCTTTCACCGATGTAATTTCGGATAACACGCGACACTAAAATTAGGTTGTTTCGAACATCAAATTATCGTTAATTACACCAATTGTGAATTCTAATGACCAGTGTTTCTGAAATTCTGTGTGAATTAAACCATAAATGTACAGGATTTAATTGATTGTTTCTACACAAAAGTTTCATTTCACTTCTTATTTATAAGAAGAAATTAATTAATGTTTTGATATTTCAATGAAGGTATAATCAAAAATATATTTTAATGGCAATTAATGAAAAATGAAAATTAATTTTTCATCTGATTCACTGAAAATGAAAAGTGCTTTTTTTCGTAATAGTGTAAAGTTTTGATTATTTAAAATGTATGAAAGAAGTTTAATTAGGTACATTTAATTAACTAACTACTAACTAATCATTGTTTTTTAACTCATTTCAATTCACTCACACTCTTTCGTTTAAAATAATACCTTGCTAAACTAGATAATTAGAAGTTAGTAGAAGGGATAGTATTGTTTGACGATGCTGTTTGATCAAGTAATCTAAGTCGACGATACGTTTCGAATTCGAGGTACGAATCAATTTAAGCTGTTCTAATTGCATCACAAAAGTTAATCAATTTGCGCTTCTGAGAGTTACACGGTCCCCTGGATCCTGTATAAGTTTGCCTGGTAGTTTCAGTTACGTTTCCTTGTCTCTCCTAATTGTTTATTACCCCGGCCGTGCTTCTAAAGTCGTAGACTGCTTTAGAATTTAGTGTAACAGAGTTGGTAACACTGTACAGAAATTGGTGCACCTGAGGCTACACTACACAGCATTTAATAATAGGTTTTCCTTAGTACCAGGAATACCGAACCGTCATTTGCGTACGTATTAGATCGGGTTTCCGCATTGTACCCTTGTTGCTTCGAGGAAGTGCTTGATTGTCTTGATAAAGCAGTAAGGATAAATCATTTTTTATGCTTGAATCGACTGTGAATTATCAATTTTCTTTAATAAATCTTGTTTCACTCTGAAATGCTATTTTTGCTGCAAACAGAACAATTAATTATTTATATTGCACCGTGTTTTTTATTATTATCATATTCTCTTTGTGCTTGATTATTATGTGATATTATTATGTGTCTTGACTATTAATACTAATATCAATAATATTTAAATATTATATTTATTTAATAATAGAACATATTTGCAGCTTTGAAATATTTAATAAAGGGTTAATTAAGAATATTTCTTTCCAAAGATATAAAGTGAAATTTTCACAAAATGTTATTTCATGATAATGATTCAAGAATCATGCAAATTTAATGAAATAATTATTCCATCATTGTTAAATCATCAAGTAGTCATCACTGATCGGTGTATACCTTATTAAATCAGAAAATTACGTATTTAATGAGGTAAATAGGCTGTGCAATTGTCAGGATAAACAGTCGTGTGGTTGAAAATTTACGGGACAAACTGGGAACCGCATTTTAACTCGTCAGCAATTAATAACACATTGTCGCGTATTGTAATACATGTTGCAGCCGAGTTAAATGGTAACGTATGATCGACCGCAAATTCATTTTTCACCGTGATATGTGATCACGAGGGAATGTACGAGCACAAATACCGTGACCGTAAATATTAATCGACCGATATGTATCGTAGAAGCAATATTCATTTGAAGATCGAACCTCCTTAATGAGAAATTGTGATTAAGTATCACGCAATACGCGTTACATAAAGATGCGATAAAGAGTGTTACATCGATTCATTTTTTACCAGAAATTTCATTTGTAAATTGAAGTACATAGTTGCAGGAAAAGTGGCAACTCATAAACTGAAAAAAAAAAGGAAAAAAACTTTAAAACTTTGCAGAAATGTAGTTCAAGTAACGTTAATAACGAAAGTATGTTTTATTTCCGCGATAAAACGACCCTAGGGGTGAAAACAGCACATCAAAAAAAGTTATGAGTTTTCATATTATTCATACAATATATGTCAAAAGTTAAAAACTATATAACTTTGAATTTAACCTTTTTTTTTTAATTTAAAAAAATCAAAACTTAGATATTTTATATAATAATTTGATAATTTTTGAATACTAGGTGTAATATCTTGAGAGTCATTATTTTATAGTAATTATTTGTTACATAAATATTTACATTAACAAATATTGAGAACATTATTCCACTAAAGATAAGAAGTAGCATAAAGAAAAAGAATGGAAAATTAACCGAAAGACAGCTTTCTTTGCCACTGTTTAACTTTCCATCGTTATCTTTCGGTTCAAGCAGAAGAACTTCAGAAATAGATAGAAGTTGTTAAAAGTTTTCTTGATTGCAAATGCTCCTCAAGAACAACCGAGAAATCGTGCAAATAAAAGATACCATTCAGCACTGAATATCTAGTAAAACCCATATAACCCTTCAACGACGGACCATGGACAGAGCCCCAATTTTATTCAATTTTGTATTTCATACTATTTTCATTTTCTAAATTTTACACTGTTCCTCTAAAAATTATCCTTTCAATATAGGGAACTCTTACGTTTAAAATTTATATATTTAACATTAGATTGATATTTTGGTACATATTTTGTAAGTTTGGATCAATTAACCCAGTCTCCGCTGTTCAAGGGTTAATACTTTACCAGATTGCTGATATTCATTCGATATGTCGCTAAAATATTGATATTTGTCTGATATTATATTCTAAATAACAAATGAGTGTCTATAATTTGAAAAGGTATCAAATGGGTATCAGTACTTCTGTGGAATATGAAATGGATATGGATACTTTTATAAAAGTATCAAATACATATCAATCCTCTTTGTTTAACTATACATTTAATACTATTTGATACAGTATCATAATTTGAGAGGTGGAATCAATAGTATTAATTACGTATCGTTTCAATCACAGGTGATAGAACAAGTGAACGATATACATTATTTTTACCATATTTCTTGAATATTTTAAAATGTTAATTAAAATAACTAAGAGGTCAGTGCCTTGAATCACTCTCTTCTCGTGTTTCAATTAATCAGCTAATCAATTAAAATAAATCTAATATCGTGCCGTGAAAGATATTTATTATCAATTTATTGTTTCAATTGGGGGCGTTAAATTTTCAAGACACCAGTGAAAGCAACAAAGGCCTGTAACTCTAGTAAAAAGAACTTCCGCGATTCGTGCGTGAGTAGGGTCTGTGTATCATTGAATTTCCTGAGGTTATATCGATCGAGAAAGGACCGAGGACGAGGCAACGGCACGAAACGAAACGAAGGAAACGTTTGGCGGAGATTAAAAGACAGAGCCGAGGCCAGAGCCTCGAGCCTTAATTTCCGTCCTGCGAATAATTCAACCTAGCTAAAGTCTGCTTCTGCTTGGCTAGTAAGGTGAGACATTATCCGCATCGCGAGACGCTAATAAATCTTACAATGTTCCTGTTTGCCCGTTATCAAGTCACCTCTCGCTCCATTACACTCTGTCACAGAAGAGAGTATCCGTGAATTACACATTGGTAAAGGGCGCAGCTAATAAAATCATTCCTCAAAGTGTCCTTTAATACCTTTTGAAGTCACTTGATCGGTATTAGTAGTGTTCTTGTAACAGACACGAGTTCGAAGCAGTGTTTCAACAAAGAAAATTAAAAAAAGAAGAAAAAATAATTGCACAGCTAATTTTTTAGAGGCTTTGGGTAATTTTTACAGGGCTGCCTTTAGAGGTTGTAAAACACAGGGCAAAGATAAGATTATTGAAAGTATTGCTATTCCAAGCACCACTCCCCAGCGCAACAATATAATCAAGTATCTCATTAATTAACAGCTCTAATTTTATACCTACGCGTAAATAGCGTATGCTCTTTGCAGAAACATGTTTACTCGGTTTACTTATCAGTTAGGTAACACCTGTGAAAACGCCCACGTAAATGGATGAAAACGAACGTTTCGGCAATGAAATCGACGTGGCACTTTGTCTAAACGGATTGCGTGTAATTATCGTTGGATAATCGTGGCGCATTATGGCTTATTACAAGAGATCGAACGCCGACCACGAGCTGGGTGCAATTTGTTTGTGGCCGTTTCGCGATAGCGGCGAACCAACGAGCCCTTTGATTTATCACCGAGCACGGTTATACAGAGAGTTGTCGACCAACGAGACGCGATTCTTTTTTTTTCCCCCCTCTAACGTTAGCATTTCCGGTGAACGATATCGTCGGCTACGGAATGCTCGACGTGCGGTCGCGTATTGCCGTTCCAACCCGTGAACGCATTTATTCGCAGATGACGTGCACCTTCGTACAATTTCGACGAAATCCGTATGGGGAGGCGTTGGTCGCATTCCGCGGCCTCGTTTGACCCACCGGCTCGTTCCGCTTCTGACCACGGTAACGTTTGTAAAATATTTTATGGTTGATGGTGGTCGTTTTGCGATGGAGACGCGAATCTACGGTTCAACATACTCTGCAATCTGTACAATTGTTGGCTGATGGCTTGCGCAGCATTTTAAAGCTCGACGTTTGTGGATTTTTAAATTCGAAAATTGTTTATTTTCTAACACGGTTAGCGTTGGTATTGATAAATTAATGATATTTAATTTATGAGCCAATTTAATTAATGATAAATTAATGAACCGTTAGGCTACGTTTTGGCCAACAAAATGATCCTTGTTACTAAAGCTTTCAAATATAATTCTGTAATTAATTTTTCCTAAAATATAGAAATGCCTTTAGCCTTCAAAATGTTAATAATATAGAAATTTAGTGGTGGTTTATGATAAAAATTAGCATTCACAGTAGTCTAGCCACTTACTAAACTATAATTTATGTTTAAATAACTCTATAGGTATAATAAATCTAAAGAACTGTATTATACGTTTGAGTTTGGCCATAGAAGGAAGATTAATAATGTTTGCTGTCATTAACGAGGCCAGAAGCAGTGTTTCAGCAAAACCAAACACATTATTTTGAAACTACCTCCAGGATTGTTTTCCCTCGGAATGACTAGCAAAGTAAAGTTGCCATTGCCTACTGTGGCAGTTCGCATGACTGGAAAAATGCGAAAGAACTCGGTAATACTGGTAGGAAGTTCGAAGAAACGGGCAAAGAAGCGTTGCTCGACCAGCAATGGTAGACTCTGGCCTCGTTCCAACGAAACATCGACCGTTTTCAACCCTGTTTCTTCATCCATTGCCGCTGGAACAAGCAAGATAGGGCTAGAGACCTTTCTTCTTTCTTTTTGTAATTTTCTGCTGAGTCGTTCGTACTGGAACGATGGAACAATTCTAGATGATTTCAATCATTTTGCTTCGATTGTTTTTGCTTGAAACTCGTATGTTTTTATATTTAACCCTCTGTCGGCATTTTTCAAGATTTGTTTTCAAAACTTCATGAGTTTAACAATTGTTAATGTTAAATACTTAAAGTGAAGTGTAATTACACTATGGAAGTTTGATCAGTTATTTTAAGAACGCATCATCGGTCAAATATTTATTTCGGAAGTGGCCGTGAAAGTGGACGTTTACATCCGCCGTGCCTCTAGAAGGTGAAATTCTCATATGATTTAGTATGCGACTCGCAAACGTTAACTTTCGCGGTAAACGTTAGACGAATGACAATCGTGGCCAAAAACACTTTTACGTTCGTTTCGAAAGAGGCATACAGTGCCTGTATGTCCTAATTACGTGTCGCCTCTTCAATTATCGTCATTATGTATCAATGACAAAAGGAAACCGCTGGCAAGGCTCAAATGCACTACTCACTAGAACCACCAAAGGCAGTCCAGCTGAATAGCTAATAAAATTCTTCTAATAGTTTCTTTTTATTATTTTTTTTTTTATTTTATGACAAACGTTTAATGTTTCCTTTTTTTGTTAAATAGAACGTAAGTGTCGCCATAAAATTTTAATGCTTCCAATAAAATTCATAAAACAGTTGCCATTATTAATGTATTAAATCCATAATTACCATTATTAAATATATTAAAATATATTAGTAAAGTCAAAAATTATTTGAAAATAACGAGTAATTCTTTTATATCGTTAAAGTTTATATTTCTGGAGCGCAACGAAAAACTATTCATTAGGTTCCTCATTAATAATGCATCAGACCAGTTTAGTTCAGAAATACTCTGAGGAAACAGTAATAACTATGATTCTTTAACAAACAACAGAACCAAGCAGTTTGTGTACATCGTAAATATAATTAAATCGTCGAACTTTGCAGTTGAGGTTACTATTCGAAGCTCTCAAAGCAAGTTTCATTATCTTTCTGCTCTTAAAATTCACTTGTTTAGCAAGATTTTGCTTCAATGCAAATAAGTCTACAACGTGATGAAAATTCCGTTTCTGGATATTTTCATCACAGAAATCTTATTTTATAACAAATTCAAATAACTAAAATTGTAAGTAATTAGAAAGGTAAAAAATATTTAAAATTTGCCTAAATTACGTTTTCATTTTTATGAGCAGAAACACAATAGGTCGATTTACAATTTACAACGTTGTATTTTCGAAGCGATCATCTGCAAAGCGTAATTAGTGTAACGATCAATTCAGAAGTGGCTTGGTAGAACGCGTCGTTACGAGTAAATAAAATATTAAATTGCCAATTACACAACGTATTTCAATCGGCTCGTTATTTTCGACGAAACGAACATTGGCAAAAGCGTCTTCGAATTAATCCGAAACCCGTTACCCTTGCAATTAAGCGTCGATAATTGGACGGGTAGCTTTTCGTTCGATCGTTCCAACAAAATCGAAAATGAAAAAATAACAAAAACCAATGTTTCATTGATTACCATTAAGTGAAAATAACTGGATATAACATTGCCAATACTACTATGTAGTATTCAAATTTGAAGATAACAAAATAAGAATAATTATTCGAATTATTTGAACATCTAATTTTAAAAGTTTTTCAACCATAAAGAAGTATCTTCTATCATACCGGCAACCAAAGTAAAAAATTGAAAAGAAAAAAGATTCAAAAAAAAAAAAATTATACCCAACATATGCAACTGTTGCATATGCATCAAATATCTAACAAGTCGTATGACATTGAAAATCAACGTTAAAAATTGCAAAAAAGGAATTAAAAAAATTTCCAATGGAAGTATCTCTGACATTTAAAACAGGCTGCACACTGATGCAGCATGCAGCATGCACAATGCAAATGACGCACGCATGCGTCAAATGCATCCGCGCGAGCGCCGGACTGGGTTCTCTTCGTATAAATCTTTCAAACGATAAAATAATGCTGAAGCTTTGATTCGTTTCAATGTATAACTATTCAAAGTGAAAAATTTCTAAAAACCTTAAAGGTGTAGAAAAATGATAGATGTACCTACAACTTGCCTAAAACTTGCAACAGCATACGTACCGTCTACCGTGCACCAGTTAGTCCGTCATCGTTTCGACCTTCGTCGAGGCTGCATCGCGATCGATCGTTGTGTTATCGAGCGTAACGCGTCAGAGCTTCCTAATCAGCCGAGCCGAGCGGAGTGGAGCGTAGTGCGGCATGCCCCTCTTTAGGGATTCCAACCTCGTCGTTGGCTGTACGTGCTGATTCAACGCGAAGTTTCCCTCACGACTAGCCGGTACACAGACCACTCGCTTAGTTTCCTCTCGGCAGTCGAGTGAAACCGACCCCAACAGCAAGGATCTTCAGCGTTCCCGGTGGTGGACCGGCGGACCAGCTGGGACAACGAACATGGCAGCTCCGGTAGTTTGGAACGCACTTTATGTTGCTCTTTCGTTGGTCTTGACCAGCCGATCTTCCATGGCTAAACAAACGGAGACTTTCGTCGTCAGCAACACCATAGACCAAGGCGCAGGTGGAAAGGACTACTTCATAGGACCTTGTTTGGTGAATACCAATCAGACCTGTCCTGACAAAGAGATAACCTTCTTCCTTTACACACGGAGAAACTTCAACGAAAGCCAACAGATTCTGGTGGATGAAACTAGTTCAAACTTGGCCCAGACCAACTTTGACCCTTCGAAACCGACCAAGATAGTGATACACGGTTACGATTCCAACATGATGCTGTCCTACCTGGTGGACGTTCGTATGGAATACTTAAAGACCTATGACTACAACGTGATCGCCGTTGATTGGCATCGTTTAGCAAATGCTCCTTGCTACCCAATCGTCGTGCAGAACGTACCTCACGTTGGAGACTGTTTAGCCCAGTTGGTCCAGAGACTGAGGGACACAGGGGTCCAGGACATACACGTGATAGGATTCAGCTTGGGCGCCCATGTGCCTGGCTTTGCTGCAAACACACTGCACCCCTATAAGATATCTAGGATCACCGGGCTAGACCCAGCCATGCCTTTGTTCATCACCGACGACAAGAGCAGAAAGTTAGATGCTGGGGATGCTGAGTTTGTTGATGTATTTCATACAAATGCATTCATCCAGGGCAAAATTGAGATGAGTGGACACATTGACTTCTACATGAATGGAGGTATCAATCAGCCAGGTTGTTGGGACAGGTGGAATCCATTCGAATGTGATCACCATAGGTCGGTGATGTACTTTGCCGAATCTATCAATTCCGAAGTAGGTTTCTGGGGCTGGCAATGCGGAGGATTCGTCAATTACCTCCTGGGTCTGTGCCCACCGAGGTACCCAGCCACTCTGGCTGGGGATAAAGTGGACAAGAAGAGGAGAGGCTTCTACCTGGTGAGAACCCATGCTCATAGCCCGTACGCTATGGGGAATTTCAGTGTTAACCAGTTGGATATGTACACGTAAAGTGGAGTTAAGGATGGAGCGATAACGGGAACCCATGATGGAGACCACAAATACGTCTCAGATAACTGTCCCAGATAAGGAGACAAAAACAGGACGTGTGCGTGGGATGAGAACGACTGGCATGCTCGTGAACTCTTCGAGAGAAAAGTGTGAAAGTTCGTTGGTTGAAAAACGTGGCCCGTGTCAAGGTCAGGAGATTCCAGGCACCTGGTGCCCTGCTAATCGATATCGTGTTCCAGAAAGAAGTGGGGCTAACCTAAGCCGACTACACGTATACGTTTAGAAGCCGATTCTTTACCTATTTGACGCGCCCAGGAACGATTTGTAGCAATTTATGGTTGGTGGTTATCAAAGTTGATTTAAGCATTTATGGGGATAAATTATTTGAATATGAATCATGAGGATTTTTGCTTGGACTGATTAGGATGGTGCTGATGAAAGCATTTAAATGACGTGACTCCTTTGTACAATAATTATAATTTATCAACTGATAACATTAGTTCTTTTATATAACTGTTCTTTTAATAATAAATTTCTTAAGGATCCTTGAAAATTTAACTGAAAACCGAAATGGAGCAAGGAAATGACAAATCATTTTTAATTTTTCTTATATGCATTATTTTAGATATAGCTTTTCAATATTTATAATTTAAATTTTATATTCATTGTCATTTCCTATTGCATTTGGATCTTTCCAGGGATTTAATTGGCAGTGGTGACTTTTTTTTCTATTTTAAGATATGATTTAAAACTAAATTGGTATCAGCTCAACAAGGATTAATACGTATACTGTATAAGATATTAATTCAACAAAAATGGAGTTTTCCATTCTAAAACATCAATGTATTTTTACGACTGACATCATTTAAACGCTTGTGTATAGTCAACGTTATTGATAGGAGTTTTATGATACTGACAATAAGATTGTTATAATTCTCTTACATAACTGCTTATGTAACGACGATATGTATACCTATCTAATGTGCCAGTAAAACAACAGAATTGTATTTTAGTATTTTACGTATTAATTCAAGATAGAAAAGTGAAACGTAATAATCCTTCGACAAGGATTGTAAATAATGGGTCAGTATGAACCCATTCCTATCCTTTATTCCTGTTTTATTACTCAGGAATACAACAATCGATCTTTTCAACTTTAAAGATTATTTGCCTGAAAAATATGAATAAATTATAAATGTAAAACGTACCGAAACAGTATTTATTCTGCACAATGTACAATGAGAAAAATAAATGATCATCCTTCGTCTCAATACTTCTGTTACAATATACATTTTGATAAAAAACCTTGATAAATTTTCAAATTGTAATTAAAAATTTGAAATCAGTTATGTTGATTGATCTAACAATTTTAGTTTGAAGAAGTTTCATGTATGAGAGTAAATAATTGGTTTCTCTAGCGTCATTAGAACGAGGTGATTGCTTTCAATGGAACGTTTGCCAATTGTTAGGAACTTTCCAAAGGTTTACCGAGCATTCGCGACTATAAAAGGAATTTATAACTTTGAAGAGGTACGGTGCAAAGACCGTGGATTGTCTAAAGGTCCAGAAGCCTTAGCACGTGATCTTGTTAGTTTCTTTAAAGCCGACTCAAAGACGAAGAGGTTCGTATAAGTCACCGTGAAAACGTTTTAAGAGTCAAAGGTTTTACTAGATAAGTTTCAATTAACTTTGTCATCTGCTCGTTGACTCAAACTCCTTCGAATTTCAAAGATTTTATTACTATCTGTAAAAAAATCTCAGTCGGCGAATGCAAATTTGTATAAAAGATTGCAAGCTTCTTTCATTTTCTGGAAATTGTACAGAGGATTCATTTGGAAATTTAAAGAATATCTAATTGAGTCTAATAAACGAAATAAGAAACTATTACTTGATCATAGAAAATGAAAACATTGACAAGATTATTAATTTATTAAATTTAAATGCTTTTTAGAGAAGAAAATTGGGTTTCATAATTCATTTTGCTTTATAATTGCATTAAACTAAATTTAATTGAGATATGTCAATGATAACAGTGATTTGTTATCTCTTATCTTATCAAAAAGTATAAGTACAGAGTTATGGTTTTACCTTAGTAAAGAGATAGAAATTTAAGCTGTTTCTAAAATTTACAAATATAAATATAAAACTGTTTGCATATTTATTTAATGTATGTATATAAATATTGAATGTCGGTAAACACAATTAAGAGGATTATAAATTTCGATAATGTATTGATTAATATTTAATTAAATTATGTTCGCCTCATTAACTTATTTATGAACACGTTAAATTTCCAAATAATTTATACTCAAATGACACATAATGGAAGTCAATTAATATTTTTGAATGTTAAATAACGAAAACAATTTATCTCTCATTATTAATTACTACAATATGACGCTTAATTTATTTCAAAAATATTTGAAGTAATTGATTACAATAGAATCGTGTTTGGTGAATCTTCTTTGCTTGACGTCATCTAATTCAATTTATTCAATATCGTCAAAAGGATCAAATTAAATCTTGAACAATTTGAATATTAAACAAATGGAAAGCATGCTCTGGGGGTTGGATTGTATCCAAACAATTCGTTAGTAACTAACGAGGGCCTCGTTAGCCGGTACGTGATGCCAAAGATTATGAGAGCGAGAAAAAAAAAAAGTAGAAACATCAGATAATTTAATTAAAAAATTTGATCATCTCTGCTTAAAATATCGTAGCACATTTTATGAAGTAAATAAAATTTTCCATTAAAAGTTTTAATTTTCTATCAATAACGTTAGAAAATTAAAATTTCTTTAAGCAACTTCACATGCAAATGAAATAGATAAGCCATGTTACTTTTTATTTTAATAATACATGAAGTGTGCATAATCTATAAAAGATACTTTAGAATTGCAGTCACGAACCGAAGCGTTTTAACATTCTCACCCAAAGCATCGCAAATATGTTCATTCAGTATGTTTAATGCAACATGTTTGACCTTTCCTTTCTCCGCTAACAGCAACGTTACACTATGTCTGACAATATGTGACACGAAACAAGCATGCTTCTGGTCCATTTAAATGAATGTAAAATTAAGACCTCCAAGATACGTGACCTGTTATTACGTCACGTAAACGCTACGAATTGTGCACTGCAGGGAATTTAATTTTTAAACAGGGAAAACGATACGTTACCCATTCGTTCTTTGTGAAATCGACAATTTTTCACACGTACGAAACATTCGGTACCTCTTCTACAATAAAAACTAAACTTATACTTATGCACTAATTTTTAAGTGAATTAATTTATTAAACAGAAAAACAGATGTACAACATTTCGTTTTGATATATTAATAAGATAATCAAATATATTTTCACTCATAAATATCTAATAAATCCGTTTAAAGTGATAATTCTTTCTCAATGATTTTAATCCACAATGCTGTATCAGTTTTCATTAATATTCGGTGAACCAAGCGAGTGAGATAAATTCGAAATGATTAAATTTGTCGGTATACAGGAGAAATCTCGGTATCCAGCCGAAACGAGCCGCAATGTTCGATAAATTATAGTGGATTTATGAAACGCATAGTTGGCCGACATTCGCCAAGATAGCCGAAATTCCTTGAATTTCCATCGATCGAAACACTTGCCACAGGTATTTCCCAGAGGCGAATCGTTCTCTTATTAAAACTTGGGTAAATTATTTATGTAGTGCTTCTTTTAATCGTGGTTTTAAAGTTCCTTAGAAAGTACACGCGGTAGGAAACTTGGAAAAAAGTTGAGAACTGTCTGAAACAATGGTATGTTCGATCGTACGTAACGCAGGGTTCCATGAAAGTTATAGTAAGATAACGATAAAATTATGAATTCATCGAAAAATAAAAATTGTTTTATTAATAATTTATTTTCTCGATTTTGTATTAAATAATTTTACAGAGTATATTATAGTATAGAACGCCGTATAGAACGGGGTACATATCATCAGCCAGGAAGATGGTTATTTCTCGTCTGCTGGCAAACATAATCCGTACGTCGGATAGTTATGAAAATTTAATGGAGTAACGACGAGGAAGTGTAAAGCTTGCGATAGATATCAGGCAATCGGATAATGAGCGTTTCGCCGATAATGAGCTTACTCGTAATTGCGCGTCGTCGAACCCGCCCGCTGCTCCAAATAATTGTTATTCCCTGTTCGTACATACGTGAACAATAATGATAATCGATCGTGCTCCGCTGCCTACGACGGCGATTGTTTCGCGTGAAATTTATTTATCAGTTATTGGCCCACGGTTAATTAACGGACCGGTCTAAGAGAAAGGAATATTTGCCAGAATAAATTGTCGCCAGAGAAGTTTCGTGCTATAAAATATTGCACATGAGTTATTGCAAAATGAGTTTATTGAAATTTACACAAACGCTTCGACTAAAATTAAACATTCAAATTTTATCATTTAACCCTTCATCACTAAAATAATTGATATTAGTATCTTTTGAATATATTTCACGTGGATTTTGTTTTTCCTGTTTAGAACACAGTATCCTTTTTTTAACAAAAACAAAAAACGAAAAAAATACAAACCAACGAAACCAGACGATGAAATGGCCATCGATCATCGATTCTCGGTATCGTATTCATACAAACAATCCCAGCGAACGGTTACAACAAGCTGGTTCATGGAAATAAAAATCGGGAACCGAGGAAAACGCGAAAGTAATTAGTTCTCTGTGTCAACCAGCCCGTACGAATCGATACTAGATATTTCAGGTACGGTTGGTAAAAAACAATGTCATTTTTTGCCAAATTTCAGACTACCGATTTAAAAAGGATAACCATTTCATGGAGGGAAAAAGAAAAGAATTGTTTAAAAAATGATAAATTGGAAGCTTTTACAATGTACACGATAAAATTATTAGTTTTCTAATTGCAACTCGAAAATTTTCAACCAAGTATGCTTCAATGCGTGTTAATGTAATTCTTTGAAAATTTATAAGATTTTTTATTATTTTATTAGATTTTTAAACATTCCGAAGCAAATTCTTCTGTGCTTATTAATTTAGCAAAATGTTAGAATGTTAAAATTAATTCTTAGAAGTAGCAAAATGAATCAAAGTGTTAAGAATTACATAAAATATTTCAAATATGATAAAATAGCATAAAAAAATTTATTAATTTTGCAAATTAATATTTGCAAAAGAATTAAACAACTTAGAAGATGTGTAACATTTGAATAAATATGAACTTAGACTAAATTTGAAACATTTATCTAAGTAAATACTCGTATTTCTCGTTTATTTAACCAACCTATTGCAATTAAACTTATCATAAATTAGCTTTTTCTTTCTCAGAGTATGATCATGATTAATCATAAGGAAGATGAATGGTCTTACTCGAGTATTTAACTGTTAACTACTAAATGCATCTACAGATATAACGAGAGATACATAAAATTAAGAAAGTTGCAAGAAAATATCGTTTACTTTAACACCTTAGTACACGTTGTTTCCTGTTACAGTGTACTTATTTTCTTCTTTTTAATAGTTTCCTTCCGCTATACGAGAACGTGCACTTAGTTTGTCGATAACACTCTAGTTCGTGGTTGGTATCCCGTGTCAAAAGCAACTTTGAGAAGCGTACTCTGCGATAAATCCAAAATAATTTCACGCTGATCGATTTTACTACTATCTTTGGTTTTAAACAAAGCAAACAGCTGGAAACTTGTATTAGCAAAAGAGAAATTTCAGAAAATTTCACGCTTGCGGTTAAGATACGTTAATATAAATAATAAACAATAGTAAGATTTTTTTCAATTTACAAAATCACATAAATCAATTTTTAATCGCTATTAATTCGTTTTGGCTTACTGTTAATTATACAAATAATAAATTTTCTAATAAACCAAATGAAAAAATTAAAATATCATATTCTGTAAAATTGCTATTAGTGCCATAAGCGATCAACTCATTAAATACACAATATAATTAAAAAGGAAAACAAAAAATATTAAATTTTTAAACCAATAGTTTGGCAGAATAGGCTGTGGTCTTTAAAATGCATTTTATTGTAAGACGATATCGCAATTGGTTTAAAATTTACAAGGCTTTAAATCGAACTCATTCGAAATGTATTAAGGGATGGACAAAATAATTATTAATGAACGAAATAATCGGAAACGTTCTGCCCTACTTTATTTTCTTGGAAATGTGTACGTCGAGTGCACTAGCAGTAAAAAAACTGCTGACTCACCGTCCGACACTGGCCAGTCCACACCACGTTGATTGGGGTAGG